TGTCCTCTGTGCTTGTAGCTCAGGCATCGGGTGACTCCAATTATCTGTGACATGAAGAGCACAGGTGAAGTTGCTGGCTGAACCCAGAACCAGAGAGAGGTGGACAAAGGGAGAAGGGGGGATACTGAGCATCGAGGAGAGGAAGAGCAACCAAAATGACCCCAAAGAAGAAAAGGGGGTGAACAGAAGGAAAGGCATCCTAATAGAAGCAAAAAAGCAAGAAAAGAAGCGTGAAGACGAAGTACGTCATTTGGAGGACTTGGGGAGGAGCAGTCAAGGAGGCATCTCCAAAAACAAAAAAAAAATAAGGCATCTCCAGGGACTTCCCTGGTGGTCCAACGGCTAAGACTCTCCGCTCCCAAGGCAGGAGGCCTGGGTTCGATCCCTGGTCAGGGAGCTATGATTCCACACGCCACAGCCAAGACTCCCCACAGCCAAATAAATAAAAATGAATACTAAAAACAAGACTGAGTCTCCAAACATGGTCAGTATTAGAAAGCTTGTCAGCAATAAATCCCGTTCTTCTAGTGGGATGAAGAAAGTGGTGCTCTTTGAGGATGTTTGAGGCCACCCTGCATGAAAGCCGTGAGAGGCGCTGTAGGAGCCAGCTCCCTGGTTCTGAACAAGAGGGGCTTGTGATTCACGGGCGTGCCCGCCACCTCCACCCACAAGCCATGGCTTCCCCCATCTCGCGCAGGGTGGGGACCCATCTAACCGGAACCACCACCCAGCCTCTCCCAGTCTCCTTAGATGATGAGTGTGGCATCCTTGGTCCACCCACCTCAGCCCCCAAGCATTTTGCTAGAACATCAGTAAACAACTCTAGGATGCATTTTCATCCATCTTCTCCTCCTTTTCACCGCCAGCACCAGACTACCAGGGAGTTCTTATCACTTATTACATATTCTTTCCTCAAAGAGTAGACAGTGAATTGCTGCACACTTTACTTCAGGCTCATTTTATTTTCATTTTTACGTGCTATGACTGGACCGGGAAATCCGAGAATTTTCCTGAACCACATATGGACACTTGCCCCTCAGTTCCCACATGTCCAGCGCAGCCCTGACAGCAGCAGCTGGCCAGCTTTCTTGCTCAGGCTCAACTGAAGGTGAACGTTATTAACTACAACAGCTAACATTTGTTTAGGGCTTTTGTGGGGTTGGGGTGCTCACTGCGAGGCAGGTGGGTTTTTAGTTCCCCAACCAGGATCCAATCCATGCTCTCTGCAGTGGAAGTGCAGAGTCTTAACCACTGGACCACCAGGGAAGTCCCTGTTTAGGGCTATTTACCTTGCAAAGAAAATAATCATCTTATTTGATCCTTACAATATCCTACATTACTGTTACTTCCACTTTCTAGACATTGAGTTTCAGATAAAGTGGCTTCCTTTGTGTCAACTGGTGGACCTAGGATCCAGTCATGTTCTTTACCTCCGAATCCTCTCTGTCTTCTATCCGAGGGCCCCTGGGGGCTCCAGAGTACCTTCAGAGTTGGGATTCCTGGATCCCTTTCCTGACCCCCAGCTGATCTTGAGCCTCAGCCTTCCTCCCCCAGTCCCATCCTACCCCACCTTTATGATCACCAAGCAGGAGAAGACTGTCCACTTCTTGGGGATGGATGTACACAGAAAGCAACAATTCTTACATCTCCTCTGCCAAGGACCCTTTCAAAGTCACCAAGGTTTCTTTTCATTACAAAAGCGATATGGGATCATTGTAGAAAAGTACAAAATATAGACAGATAATCGAAAGAAAATAAAAATCCTAATTCCATCACTGAGGAATAACTCAGTGCTGTGAATGTCACGTTGTCTGGTCTTCTGTAGCTTTTATGATGTGTACATCAGCCTACCTGTGTTTACAAAAATGGAAAGTGTGCCTACCCATAACACTGATTTTTAAACTTAATATATTTTAAACATTTTCCCTTTAGTAAATACTTTCGTAACATCGTATTTAATGGATACACAACATTTCATTATAATTTTTGATGGTAACCTAGGGGTAAACATTTGGATTTTTCCTACTTTTTCATTGAAATAATCAGTTTTGTGATAGACGTCTATATCTGGTTTTAATTTTAATTTTTCTTTACTTGATTATGAATGAAGTTTTTTTTACATGATTTTTATCACTTGAAGCTCTTTCATAAACAGCTCATGCATATTATTTCCCAGTTTTCAATATTCTGTATTTTCTTTTTCTTGTTGATATGCAGGGATTCTTTATTTTAGGGCTAAAATTTTATCTGTCATATTCATTTTGACACCACGTCTTTTTTCTTTTCTTCTTTATTTTTTTTAAGTGTTGTATTTATCTTTGGCTGCGCTGAGTCTTCGTTGCTTTGCTCAGGCTTTCTCTAATTTCTGTGAGCAGGGGCTACTCTGGTTGCTTCTCATTGCCGTGGCTCCTCTTGTTTCAGAGCACAGGCTCTAAGCACACGGGCTTCAGTAGTTGCAGCCTGAAGGCTCCGTAGTTGTGGTGCATGGGCCTACTTACTCTGTGGCATGTGGAATCTTCCTGGGCCAGGGATCGAACCCGTGTCCCCTGTGTTGGCACGTGGATTCTTATACACTGTAGCACCAGGGAAATTCCTTTCTCTTTTTTTTGCCACACTATGCCTGCAGGATCTTAGTTCCCTGACCAGGGGTTTGAACCTGCACCCCCCTGCAGGGGAAGGGCAGAGTCTTAACCATTGGACCACCAGGGAAGTCCTTTCGACACCACGTCTTCATGCACCATTTTGAGTGTGGGAATGTTTCCCCCACATCTCCCAACCAGGCCATGGATGCTCTTTCTCGTCTACTGTGTCTTTAACAAATTCCCCACCAACAGAGCAAACTTTGTAGAGGGCTCCTCCTCAAGTGCCTGCCCTCAGAAGCACCCTGGCCTCCTTAGGGAAGGCCATTCCTCTCTGCCTGGGCACCAAGCCCCCATCCTTCCGCCCCCAACTTCTAGGACATCACTGACTCCTCCTCTTTCACAGGCTGCTTCCTGGGGGTGATGGTGGGCCCCTCAGAGGTTCTATCAGAAAACCCGCTGTGAACTTCTCAGAAGCCTGGAGGATGGCAGAGAAGAAGACTGTGTCGGGATATTAGTATCAGGGTCCGGTAGGGCAGGAAGTACTGATCGGGTCTGTCCGGGCAGGAACAGAGAACCCGACTCTCCGAGGGCCCCTTTTGCTTCTGAGCCAGCCCCAATTCAGGCCCTGGGGCTGCCAGTCTGCCCTCCTCTTCCTGAGTCTCCGGCTGGCCCGCTCCTTTGCCCTGTGATTACCGCTGCAGGTTTTGCCTCTGGCAGAAGGGATGGGAGTCCTACCAGTTCTCCTGGTCAGCTTCACCAACTCACCTGCGCGTGGGGAGGGGGAGGCGCCCGGGCCTGTTGCCTGGAGTCCCCCCAGAGGCGGGGGAGGCCCAGAGGAGTGGGCTGGATTGGACAGGCCGAGGGGGTGAGGAAAGGATGAGTTTCTTACAGGCCAAGATCACTACCTGGTAATCTGGGTCTGCAGGGAGAAGGTCAGGGCAGGCGTGGGGGCAGGTGCTGGAGTTCCCTTCAGAGTTCCTGCCGGTTTGGAACATCCTGGCTCCCGAGCATCTCCCTGCCTGTCCTTTGGAATATCTGAAGATGGCTGTGGCTGGAGCTAGACCCCGACACCCTTGGCCTCCTTGGGCTCTCACTGAGGACTTTTGGGCTTAGGAGTTTCTGGGACCCTCTTTTCTTATATTTTCACGCATTTCCTAGGAATACAGTGTGACGCCCATCAGTGAGAGGCTGCGAGGCTCCAGCCAGGTGCCTGCACAGTGGTGGCTCTGCCAGGTAGCCACTGTGAACTTGGCCTCCTGTTGACGTTTCTAGGCGTCACTTTCCCAGTGGCAACTCACTCCAGTGTTCTTGCCCAAAAAACCCCACGGACAGAAGAGCCTGGCAGGCTACAGTCCGTGTGGTTGCAGAGAGTCAGACATGACTGAGCACGCAGGTGCCGTTTCTCGTCTGGAGAGTTCAGACCTTGGGGCTAGGGCACCAATCACCAGACAGGCAGTCGTGGGGGCTCATCCGTGTCAGGGTTTCTCCCACCTTTCTCTCTCCCCAGCTCTGCTGACATGGGGTCGCCCCTTTCTTCTCCCTGGCTCTCACGCTCTAGTGAGGCTCCACCAGGGCAAGGTGAGCCCCGGGGCGCAGGGACCTCACCGCCCCCTGAACCCCCAGGGCTTCAGCACAGGGCTCAGCACAGAGTAGGTGCTCATGGAGAGGAAATGTTCTCCCGCCACCTGATCGTGAAGGGCTGGAGAGACAGGAGTCCCAGCCTGAGAGTCAGGCCTCAGACTGGAGCCCATGTGACCCTGAGCAAGGCATTTCATCTCCCTGAGCTTCCATTTCTTTGTCTAAAAATAGGAACAATAATAGCCACCTCCCAGAGTTGTTGTGGTGGTTAGCAATGATGTCAGAGGGGAAGCGCAGCAGCGCGGTGTGTAGTAGGAGCTCAATAAATGCCAGTGGTGATTAGCTGCTATTAAAGGGCCGGTGACGCGGCCCCAGGAGTGCCAGGCTCAGCAGTGAGCAACGCCGGCATCTCTCAGTGCCCCGAGCCTCTCCCGGTTTGGTCTCCCACCTCGAATGCCACGGTCCATCTGTCCACCGACGGGCAGTGTGGACCCGCAGCCTGGACACAGAGCTCACTCACTAGCTCTCTGCCCTGGGCCGCCCTGCCCTGGCTTCCTCTCTGTGGAGGTGGGAGTGCGGTGGGGGGCAGGCGATCCACTCTCAAAAGTTTCACCAGTGAATTCTGCGGACAGGTGGGTGCTCCTGCTTGAGGGTTTGGCAGGTTACACCGTGCAGCTGGCTCCCCACCCTTCACATCTCTGAGCATGTTTCTAGATGCCTGATGTGTGTCCTACTGTGAAAACTTGATGGGGTAGAAGTCGTCTCCCTCATTTTCTGTGCAGAGAACATGTGGGGAAGACAGGACATGGATCGCTTGATACCCAGCTCTTACGTTTTCAGGAAATAGAAACTGGAAGATGTCATTGTCAATGTCCCCCTCGGGCCAGGGCCAGGATCTCCACACCTGACTCATGTTCCCTCCAGCGCTGGCGTGGGCCCTGAGCCCCCACGAGTCAGTGAGTCAGCCGCCTGGGGGCAGGGGGCTGCCAGACGACAAGGGCCGTCCCTGAGGGAGATGACTGGTGGGTTGACGGATGGAGTATCAGACAGACTCTAGCGGACTTCCCTGGAAGTCCAGTGGTTAACACTCCATGCTCCCAGTGCAGGGGGTCAGGGAAAAGATCCTGCATGCCATGCAACACGGTCAAAAAGAAAAAATTCAAAGCAGACTCTAGGAACTGGGGAAGGGGGCTGGGATGAGGATACAGAGGGCAGGCTGGTCTCGGACATGAAGAGGGTGGGACATGCTGGGTCAGGTGACTGTCTCTGCCTGAGGGAGTGGGCTCCTCCTGGGTGGCCCCAAGGACCAGCCAGGGTATCCCTTCTCTTGGCAAGACCACCCAAGCCCAGGCTCCCAACTGGTCTTCCCCATCCAGGGTTTCCTTTTCCATTCCCTTCTCTTCACTCTCATTTTTTGGGCTTGGAAGTCATGACCACCACTCAACCTCTTAGAATTCTTGGAGTGGAAGTGTTGAAGATTATTTTGTCCAGCCTTCAGCTCCCCCACTTGAGTCCCTGAAGAAATTCCTGACAAATGGCTTCCCAGGCCCAGCCAGCAGACCCCAGGCACACTGCCTGGGGGTGCCTCCTTCCTGAGCTGCTGCCCCAGGGCTCCCCACAGTGGGGGCCTGCACCCCTCTGATGCTCCCCTCTCTGCCCAGGATCTGCCCGCTGGATCCACCGGAATGAGCCTTTCCCCCTGCTTCAAGTTGGCAGCCCTGTGGTTGGTCTTCCCCACTCGAAGGACAAACTTCTCAGCCTTCTGCACCTCCTCCTTTCTGCTGCAGTTTGTCAGTGAGTTTCTTCAGGAGTTTTATTGAGATGGGGGCCTAGAGACATGAAGTCGTTAGGACAGAAAGGACCTTTCAACTTGGGGACCCGTCTCATTTTATAGATGAAAAACCAAGGGGTTCGGTTGCTTGCCCAAGGCCCCACAGACAGCCAGAGACAGGGCTGGGCCTCAAGTCCTGTGTGCATAGTCGCTCAGTCATGTCCGACTCTCCAGAACCCCATGGACTCTAGCCCACCAGGCTCCTCTGTCTGGGATTCTCCAGGCAAGAACACTGGAGTGGGTTGCCATGCCCTCCTCCAGGGGATCTTCCTGACCCAGGGACTGAGCCCAGTTTTCCCCCATTGCAGGCAGATTCCTTACCATCTGAGCCAGCAGGGAAGCCCTATCTCTGCTCTTTCCACGCCCTCACGGACTCCGGGTCACACTGGCACTCCTTTGGGCAGCTCTGTCCCCAGTGATGTGTTGAACTTCAAGTTGACTAAAAGCCCCAAATTGTTTTATAACTTAATTTTCTTCTGATTATAAAAGATAATATATGTTCATTGTAAAAACATTAGAAAATGCGTACAAATATATACAGTCTAAATCTTCACCGCACTTCCTGGTGTTGTCAATTTCCCTCTGCCCTGCGTTTGGTTGCTTTGCTTTTAGCTGTATAAATAGGACTCTCCTTCCATCCTCCTTTAGGCCGGACGTCTTGCTAGGTCCCAGCCAGCTCTTCTGTCTCTGGGGAGAGTCTGTCTCTCTTGTTTGGTTACCAGTTCTTATTGGCACCTGGGCAGGGCTCAAAAAACACCAGTGGTGTGGCTGAATGAATGACAGCGTCGGGACTGGCAATGGGACCGGTGAGGACCTCCGCCCAGCCCAGGGCACACACCTCCTCTGTTCTGGGTCTGATCCTACCCTCGCCCTCCCAGAAACGCCTTCCCTCCTCTTTTGTTCTCTTCAGACCCTCCCATTTTTTCCAGCCCAGCTGAACCCCACCTCTTTCAAGAAATCTTGACTCTTTCAAATCCAAAAGCCTCCTTTCGGGTCCCACTGCATTGGTTGTAGGCCTGCACCACTTACCCATAGTTATACATTGACTTGCATTAATCGCTCCCCTCTGCCTGGCTGCAGCCTCTTTCCTGGTCCGCGGAGGCCCACACGCGGCAGCCATCCTGCAGAAGCTGGAGATCATTATGGGCCCTCAAAATGTGACCGTCTGGCCTGATCTTGTCGGGCGGTGTCCCACCCCTGAGCCCTGCTAAGGAGGGGGAGAGAGCAGAGCTTCAGAGGGAGCCCTCCCCCACCCCCATCCCTGGCTTCTGAGAAACCTTGCTCCTGCTAAAGTTTACATAGCAGTTAATCATCTGGGCTTTGACAATGGGTTCTGCTCATCCTGGGACATGGAAAACTGGGATTTGGTTTGCCTTTCACATTGGGAGGCTTCTAGAGATAAAGAGAAATCCTCTGTGCCTGGCTATTTAAAGAGACACAGGGAGGGCTAGGGGCCCTTCCACCCTCTGCCTTCACACGGGAGAGCTGTGGAGGTCAGATTAATGTTTCCGTTTCTCCTCACAGCACCAGATCTGCCAATCCTTCTCCCAGAATGTATGCCAAGGGCCCAGGCCTGGCAGCCGCCTCCTCCATGCCTGGCGAGGCTGTGATGGAAGAACACTGAATGGGCACTCAGGCACCCGGGTCCCAGAGTGATCAGGTCTCCTCAGTGATCCTAGGTAGGTGATGGGCACGGCCAGGTGATCTCTAAGTTTCCCTCTACTTTGAGTTGCCTAGAGGTGCCATGCCATCTGCCAACCTCCCCATCAGCACTGTGCACCCATCCCAGAGTGTGGCTGGAAGGTCAAGGATGCTAATACACAGTGTACCTGGCCTGAAACAGAGGCTATGTGGGTGTGACCGTCCCCACAGCTAAGTGTCTGACCCAGAACTGACAAGAATTTCGTGCCCTACTATTTAGGGGATGCGGCTCTTCCTCCTGTGGTCCTGGCAGGGCATGGGACCTGTGGCCACCACGGAGAACAGAACGGGGTCCTGGGGTCAGCAGGCACTGACAGCTTAGACCATGGGCAGGCCACTTAATTGAGCAGATTCTTGTCTTGACTTGAGAGCCACTGCTACCTGTAAAAGGGTGAGACTTTGAATAGAATGTATCCATTGTTTTGATTCATTTCCCTGGAGGTGGAAAAAAGAGGCCTATGAAACAAAAACACTGAAACACAGAAAATGACAGTTTTTTTATTTTGCCAGTTGAGGGAAAAGTTATAAAATAAAACAAACACAGAGCTGTGCAGCCTCCTTGGATGGCAATGAACACAGAGATGGACAACGACCAGGCAACGCACACAGGGACACAGACACGTAAACAAGACAGAACTTCCAGAGAATGTTACTGTATACATTACAACTTCCAGAATACAGCAGCTCTTGCAGGCCCTAAAGTAAAATGAAGCCAGACTCTTCCAAAACCATCCACACACATTCAGAGCTGTGCCAGAGAAGGCCCCCTCCCGCATCCCGGGCTGTGTGGATGCTGCAGGACAGGCCAAGGCTGGGTCCACCTGGGCTGTGGCTTCGCGGGGCGGCTCCACCAGCTCTGTTGTCTTCTCTTTCGAGTTTGCCTTCTCATTCTTTGGTAGACTAGCTCCAGCCCCTGCCTGTCTCTCCCTTTTGACCCACAGCCCTTTCCTGTTCTTGGTAGGAAACCTGGCTAGAGCCAGGGGAGCTTGGCCGAGTCCTTCTAATGGAGCAGCCCGTGGAGGGGTGGCTCCCTCCTCAGGGCCTCAAGGGCCAACCCCGCCGTCTGAAAAACAGCAGTAAGGTTACAAAGATAACCTGTTAACCATCTCATACCATCCTCCCTCCAGAAGCTTCTGATGTGTCTGGTTATGACTCTCTCCCACTTTTTTGCTCCTGTCCTAAGGTTTTTGACTCAGCCAGGAAAAGAGCAGACCTCACAGCCTGGCCCTGCACTCTTCTTGTGACTGCCGGCGGGGGACCCCTGGGTGCATCACAGACTCATCACCCCACCTCTGGTCTCAGCCCCGCGGCCCCAGCCGGACAAACCCTCGGCCTCTGGAATGGTGAGTTGTTCCGCCCATGGTCTGTCATCAGGAGGCCAGGGGGCTCTCGGTCACCCGGAGGCTGGCCTTGAAAGGATGCAGGAAGGAGGCAGAATTCCAAGGAGGGAAGAGCAGAAGCTGTGATGGGCTGTCCCATCAGGAGGAAAGAACGGGGTGCAGTGTACGCTCCCCTAGGGCTGGAGGGAAGTCTTCGATTAAATATCTTGGGAAAGATGAGGGTGGGTGACGGTGGCCACCCCACAGCCGAGGCACAGGGGAGGTGTGAAATGTCCAGGATAAATAGAACTGCGTGGGGAGGAGAAAAGCCAGCTCCATCCTCTCTTAGAAGCAGTCGCCATCGGCACCAAAAATATATTAATATCTGTACACTTGTCATCTTTTAAAAAAAGAAATAAAACCTCCTTGGCACCAGTAGTTGATTTCTTAAAAATGAGGTGATATGTGGCAAGGCCTCCCGTGTACGCACATCCACGGCTGTGCACATGTGTGTGCATCTCCCTGTCGACGAGCAGAGCCCTGCAGCCCTGAGCAAGAGGAACACGGCCGGGTGAGCCATCGCCAGCTCCTCCACCGCCAGTGTTTGCCGCGGTGCCCTTTGTCAGGGCACCCGACTGCCATCCACAGGGAACCAGCTGCCCCTGCCCCAGGCTTCAGAGGTGAGGGACAAGAGAATCACCTTCCCGTACCTCGTCTGGGAAGGAAGTCCTATCTCTGGACTCAGCTGCTCCACAGGGAAGGCAGCCCCGGCCTCACCCCGCCCCACACGTCTGCCCAGGCTCGGAGCGGCCTCTGTCCAAAGACACCAGTGCAAATGCAAACAGAGGTCAGTAGTGCCAGCCTGAGCGAGCACGCGTGGCGAGCTCCAGGCCTGCCCTCGGGTGCTCCGGCAGGAAGCCGCAGAGGGCGGGCTGGCAGGGCAGCGAGGAGGCGGGCCCCGCCCTCTCGGGGCGCTGCTCAGACGTGGTGGGCGCCCTGCAGCAGGGAGGTGACGGTGTTCTGCAGGGCCACGGCCACCTTCTTGGAGGTCTTGCGCAGCAGCGGGCTGTCGGGGTGGTGCTCCTTGAGGTGGAGGACATGGCCCTCCTGGCTCTCGGACGTGCAGCCGCACTCCTCACACACGTACAGCTTGGCCCGCCGCTCCTTGTACGCGTACTTCTGCTGCACACCGTGGATCTTCTTGAGGTGGGACTCCAGAGAGCAGCGCTGTGTGAAGGCCTTGTCACACAGGCTGCACTTGTAGGGCCGCACGCCTGCAGGGAGGGCAGCGGGGGCGTCAGGGACCCGGCTCTGGGGTACAGGAGCCCCAACTCCCCAGCGGCCCGACGGAGGGGACGAAGACGTCCGCCCCGCACGCTCCGGCCACCCCCATGATGGCCACGCGGCTGCTGGGCCTTGCCGCAGGCGGGCCCCTCTTACCTGTATGGGTGCGCACATGTCTCTTGAGGTCGAAGGTGTCATTGAAGCCCTTCCCGCAGTAGGTGCAGAGGTGCCTCTTGACATCATTGTGGCACTTCATGTGGCGGTTCAGCATGCGCTGGTAGGTGAAGGCCTTCTGGCAGATGTGGCACGTGAAGAGGTCTCCGCTGGGACCGTCCCCCAGTGTCACCTGTGGGCAAGGGCGGGGTGTGTGACAGACACCCAGGAGCTGGGGCTGCAGGTGGCAGATGGGGAAGATGCACCGCGCCAGCCCCCGGCCCCAAGGAGGGCGCTGCCCACCCAGGGGCCACACCTCTGGGCACTGGCTCCCGGAGATGGGGTGGTGGAGCCAGAAGCCGCCTTTGGGTCCTCAGTCAGCCTCTTGTCGGGCTCCTGAGTCCCTCTGCAAGGCCCTTCTTTACTGTCTCTAGAGACAGGCGGCCAGCTCCCAACAGAAAGAGGGCAACTCTCCCTGACAGAAAGTACCCCCTTCACTGAGCCCAGGCTTCCTCTAGCTGCTGCTCAGTTCTCCGTCTGCACCTCACGACGGGGAAGGTTCCACAACACGGTCATGGTCTCCACGCTGCCCTCCTGGGCTGAGGCCACCGCTGGGGGCCCGGAGCTCCCTCGCCTCACAGGCCGGCCCAGCCCCGGCCTTTCTTGAGCCTGACATGGTCTAATCTGGGTCCCTTTGCCACCCTGATGACCCCCTTTATAAAGGTTTTTCATTTCCAGGGAAACTGTGGAACACCTCAGATCTGTTCAGAAGTGGAGGCGTGGTCTCCAGGCCCTACCTCTGAATGCTCAGAGGTCACTTGTGCTCCGTGGGGGCCTTGTCGCTGGCCGCGCCGCCCGAGCCCCCTGGGCCCGAGGTGCTCCCCCATCACCCGTGCTGCCTGGCCCTGCGCAGCTCTGGCACCAGGTAAAGGCCGTGTTGCTCACTGACCAAGCCGTCTGGGGTCAGGACTCACTTCCTGCCTCGTCTCTGGTCCTGTGCCCTCTGCTTTCCCTCCACGCGCTCCCTCGCTGCTGGGGCTCAAGGGCTGGGAGAGGAGGCCCTTGGGGATCGGGGCGCTGTGTCAGCTCCCGTCAGCCGCCCAGCACATTTCCTGGTGATTCCTGGCGGGTTTCAACACCCGGCCTCCATGATGAGAGGAGGAGCAGCCTTTCCCTGCCAGTTCTCTGGTCTCTTGGCTCACAGGAAGCTCCACTGAGAGCCCTTCCACTAAATCACCACTGCCAGGTGCTTCCAGGTTCCAGAACTTTCAGGAACGCAGGCCTCGTGTTCCTGGAAAGCAGGGCCGTTTCCGCCACCCTGTGCTTCTTCCTGCCTCGGCTGCTGAACCCGGGTTCACCAGGCCCTGCCCGAGATGCAAGGCCCTGGGTTGGAAGCATGCACTTGGACGAGGCAGAGACTGCTGGGCATACACCTCAGGGGACAGCTGACCACCAAGCAGATCCCAGACCTCACTCTTATGGCGGCGGAGACGCGGGCCAGGCTGGGGTGCAGAGCCAGGCTCACGCCTCCCCGCTTTTCCAAGGACTTTTGTGTAAGGGGTGCCTCCCCTCAAGGCGAGAAACAAAACTAAACAACACCCACAAAGGACTCCAAAGGGCTGGACGTCTTTTGAACCTCACTGCTTCTCCCCAACGCATGTCATCCTCACTTCAGGCTCACTTCTCTTCTTTCCCACCCTGTCTGTGCCCCAGGGAGGCTCACATCTGTAGAAATCTGGACCCAGATCCAAGGCCAGTCTGCCTAATCTCATTTGGGCCACGCCTTGTGGGCGGGACCCATGTGGACCCACTTGCCTCTGAGCCTCAGGGACACTGTGAGGGTCAGTACCTTCATCTTGGTGCGCAGAAAGCCGTGGTCTCTGCTCTGCGGGCCTGCCAGGCGGCTCATGTCTTCGGAGGGCAGCTGGGCAACCACACAGGGCCCGGGGGTCACACTATAGCTGGAGTTCCGAAGGCTCATGTCCAAAGCCAGGGGGCAAGAAGGGGGTTCAGCCACCGACGGCTCTGGTTCCTGGTAGGGCTGTGGTGGACAGAAGCCCAGGCTGACTGGGAAGAGAAGAGCAGCCAGGTGAAGGGCGTGGAGGAGAAAAGGGGACTCTGTAGGGTTTCAGGAGGGCTCCCTGGCAGTGAGCTTGCTGGAAGTGCGGGCCACAGTCCCGCCCCTGGCAGGCATGTGGCAGAGCAGGGCTGCCCCCAGCCCACTGCCCGCCACACCCCCCTCCCACCCCATTAAGGTAATTACAGGTGACGCCAGCCAAGCGCCACGGCCCACAGGCCTGCCCGCTGAGTAATTTGTGTCTTAGCGGAACTGGGAGGGCCGAACCTGTGCTGCCAATTATTCCTCCTGAGCTGTCTGCTGGCCCCACCTGGGCCAGTCCCCCTGGATTCCAGGCCTCAGCCACGCTCCCGCAGTGACAAAAGGCAACACAGGAGGCCCGGGACCCCAGGACTCACCGCGGCCCCAGATGGGTGCCGGTGGTAAGGGCACTCAGGGCCTCTCCTCCAGGCAGATTTAGCCGCTGGTTGTGGGGAACTGGGTGGTCCTAACCCCTCCCTCCTTCGGGCCGCTCTGTCCCTGACACCTCGGCTGTTTGGGGCTCCAGGCTCCCCACTCCCTCGGGCCCAGCTTGGCAGGCAGACAGGTGGGCGGGGCAGAGCAGGGAGGAGGTCAGGGAGCAGCAGGTGGATTCAGCCTAACAGTCTCCTGGGCAGCCTGCCTGCCTGTGACGCAAGCCTCCCCCGCAGCAGGGACCGCTCCTCGCCGCTCGGAGCTCAGTTCACGGTGGCGCCTGGAGGGCTTGGGCTCCCTCCCTGGGCAGTGACAGCAGCGACAGCGAGCAGACACCTCACACACGGGGGCTTGGACCCCATCCTGACTAGAGAGGAGGGGAGGTCTCTCGAGTGACAAAGAGACAAGTCTCACACCCCCACAGTCGAGGCAAACAATCTAATGCTTCAATTTAGTGTTTTTCCCTCAAAGAGGCTAAGCTAGGAACATTCTCCAAGCCTCAGAAGGAAAACTCAAGAGGGGCACAGGGAGGAAAGGATGAGTGGGCTTCTGGAAGGGGACTCGGGAGGTGGACTTAGGGTTTCAGAACCATGAACAGGCCCCCCGGCACCGCTGCCCCCTGGCCGGTGAGACAGTGGATGGGGATCCGGGGAGGGGTGGCCCCAGCAGGACGCAGCGCTCAAGGCTGGAGGCGGAGGGCTGGGACCCGAGGGGGCGGAGGACATGCTGATGGAGGAGAGGCAGCTGTGAAGGCACCCCAGTTTCGGGAGAGGCCCGAGCTCTCGCCCCCTCAAAGCACAACAAAGGTCTGACAGGGGGAAGAATGTGCTTGCCCGACACCCAAACCCGTTCGGCTGGCACTGGCGCCGTCTGTCTGTCCGTTTGGGGATCCTAATGAGCCACCTCATTCTGGGAGTTGATTCACCAGCGCCTGGCCCTGGCCTGGCCTCTCTCCAAGCCCTGGGCGGCTGGACGTCAGGCCAGAGCTCTCGGGGGTCCCCCCAGTCTTCCCACAGGGACGGGGTCTGCTGAGGGGGGGCGTGTCTGAGAGCTGGCAGCTTCAGCTTATGCGGCTATTGGAGATCCTGCCAGGGAATTCAAAGCTGGATGACAATTTTCATTTCTCAATCCAGGTGGAGATAAACAGGAACCTCTACCCTCTCTATCTTTCAGTATCGGGTAGCATGAGCGAGGCTCCCCGGCACTGGAGCTGGGCCACACCGCCTGCACATGGAGCAGTAGACGGAGGAGTAACAGCAGGTAAGGGTTAACTGGTTTGCACCCCGGTGAGCTGTCACCCTTGGCTCCCTTGCTCCACTCGGGGTGGGGGTGGGGGTGTCCAAGGCCAGGGTTCTGAGATCTCAGCCGGTTTGGGGAGAGACCAGTGCCTGCCTCTCTCATTCCACAGAAACCCCCGAAGTGACGGTGCCGGGGAGCTGGGGACAGGGAGCGGGCCCACCTGGCCTGTCTCCACGCCGCTTCTACCCCAAGCCAGGGGCAGGTGAGGCCATCAGGGTGGGGTGCTCGCCTCCTCCCACTCACCCCGCCAAACCTGTCTTCCCGCCACCCCCAGGAGCGTGTCCCGCCGCCGCACGCACAGGGAGCGCTCGCCCGCGTGTGGCTCCTGTGGCTGGGTGTCACCGAGTGGCAGGAAGCAGAACTGGTCGGGCCCTGCCGGCACTGCTCTCTGTCCCCTAATTAGACGTTTCCGGCAAGGTGGCGGTCGCTGTGGCTACTCATCGCCGGCCCACAGCGGAGGAGCGTGGCCAGGCCGTGCCAGCCGGGCCCTCTCCCCACATCCTCAGGGGTTCCAGGGCTCCCCTTCTGTCTGCCCAGCTTGCCTCCACCTGGATGAGGGGTTCAGAGCAGCCCCCGCCCAAGGCCTTCTCGCCCCGCCTCGGCCTTCAGCAAGTCTCTCAAGCTCCTGGCCCAAATACCAGACAGGGTGCTGGGTCCTCCCCATCCGAGGCCTCAGGGCAGAACAGGCAAAAGAGGTGTGAGGACACCCGGCCTCTGCCTCCCAGAGGCTGCGGCTGCGCCGACCTGGGAGGGGGTCGGGGCTCAGCTCTGCCCTGAAGCAGGCCGGAGGGAGCCCCATGTGTCAGCATGCCCAGGCCCCTGTCAGGCGGCCCTGCACCTGCATCAGGAAGGGCAGGGTCCCCCACACCCGTCTCCTCCCACCTCCAGGTCAGCTAGCAGGGCCTCAGAGGAAGCCAGCGAAGCCAACTGCCTGAGGTGGGCAGCCCTGGAAACGCAACCGGCCCGTCTCTCAGCCTGTCGTTCCCATGCTGTGAACACCAAGGGCTCCCCTCTGGCGGGATCGTCCCCCCTCCGCCAGCCGTTTTTCATATTGAGTCCACAGCGAAGGCCACCCGACGCACTGCAGCCCTCACTCCCGGGCGGACGCCGCAGGACTGGGCAGTGTTCGCGTGCTGCCCACCCCCCCCCCCCGGGGCAGCACGGGGACCCCTGTGGGAGGCCACGCAGCCCCGGCTGAGGGGGAGGAGAGTTAAAGAGGAAAGCTGACGGCAACAACGGCCGCGCTTTGCTCCCGTCCTCACCTGCTCTCCTTCTGGGACAAACAGTCTGGCAGGATTCTGCCTCAGGTCACCCAAGCGAGGGACAAACAGCGAGGGCAGCTGGGGTGACGGCACCCCGCGGGACAGCCAGGAAGCCCACCCAGCCCACCCTTCCCACCCATGGGCTGGCTGCCTACCTTCCCAGCCTTGCTCCACGGAGACCTCACTGCCAACCCCTCCCAGGAATTAGAATAATTACCATCAGAAGCATAATTGCGCCCCAGCTCCACTCCGTCCCACCCCCACACGTGTACTCTGGGGCCCCAAGCTGAATTTCTCAGCCTTCCTATCTCGGCCGGCCAGGAAAGATAGCCGCCCAGCAACCCACACGGCCTCGTCAGAGCCAGGCTGGGGAAGCTCCAGTCCCCCCACCTCAGCCTGGCTGCCTCCCTGGGGAGGGCACGTGCTGGGGAACTGGCAGAAGGGCCCACAGACGTTGGGTCCCAAGCTGGGGAGAGGGCAGAGGCCCCGGGACGCTCATGGCTGGAGCGTGTCCTTCAGCTTCCAGGCCGGGTCTGCCCCTCCAGGGCCTTCCCGGCCTTTCCCTATTCCTCTCAGCAGGGGCCAGGAGTACCCAGGCTTCATCCCCATTCCTCGGTTCCTGGAGCTTCCTCTTTGGTCCAGGAGATGGAATTTAGCCCCTGGGTACAGGTGCCTGAGTTCATCCTCAAGAAACCAGCATCCCTCCCACAGTCAGTACTGACACAACAGGAGAAATGCCGCGGAGATGGGGGGCAGGGGGCCCAAAGAGGGGCTTCTTAACCATGAGCCCTTTCAATGCTCCCGGCAGGAGTGGCACTGTCTCCCACCCCCACGGCCTTCCAGCCCCTGTGCCCACCTCTGGGCCTTGCCCTCAGCTTTCGGGGGAGACTGAGGCCAGGGGACTGAGGGTGGGAAACCTCTAGAACTGTGCCTCAGAGAAGAGGCTGGACTGCCGGTCAGCCTGGGGCCGTGGAGTCAGAGCCTTCAGTCAGTAAAGCCCTTTTTTCCAGGCATTCTTTGCTGCCCTGAGGGTCTCAGAGGACTGGGGTGGAAGGTCAGACCTGAGACGCTTCGTTCCCCAGCCCTCCCAGTGCCTCTCCCGGTGGGACCGGACGGGGTCAACGCCTAGCTGGTCACAACGTGCTGAGGCTGTGGGGTGGGGTGAAGGAAACGTGCCCAGCCGGCTCCTGGGGTCACGGTCCGCTGGTGATGGAATGGCCCAGTCAGGGGACAGGCCACCACAAAACACACTCCCCACTCTCCAGCCATCTGAGGCGCCGGAGCGCAGCCCAAGAACATTCGCTTTCTCATTTCCAAAAACTGTGGGAAAACTTGCTAGTGGGCCACATGGTTTTGAGGGGCAAAAGTCAGTTCTTTGACTTCTCCTCTTTGCTTGACCCCACAGGACTTTGCCTGGCAACTTCTCACCTGCACTTCCAGGTTAGACCCCTCCCTTCGTCCAGGGTGGTCCTGCAGGCTGAGCGGCTCCGCTCACCCAGACGGCAGCAGCAGGTGGCACAGACCATCCAGACGCCCTCCTCTGCACCTGCCGGGCCTGCCCCCGGGTGTAGGTGCCCCCCGCCCCCCACCGCCACCAGAAATGCGGTGGGGAAAACCACTAGCACACAAGGCAGCCAACAATTTGAACGAGCGGAATTTCTTTGTCCTTTGTAAAAGTCAACACATGATCTGTTACTGATTGGGATGTGAAATAAAACTAAAAATAACAGCACACTGAGTCTCAAGCAAGGCTCCGCTCACCTTTAACACAGTCCAAGTTCGGTTTATCAGATCCCAAGGAGCAGCTAAGCAGCAAGTCAAACACAGGTGAGGGAGGAGCAGGAGCAAGGAAGGGGGCGCGCGGCCCTCAGCCTCACCCCTTCCAGACCTGAAACACCATCAACTCCCTGGGGAACTTGGAGGAAACGATAAACCGCAAAGAATCCTGGGCCTGCTCAGGTCCCTTGCTGTCTCAGTTTCCCCACTGGGATCATCAGGGCTTTTGGAACATTCCCTCGTCTTAAGGAGGCTGTAGACAGGGGCCAAGGCGCTTGAGACAAGGCTAAGCTGTGAAACACCCTGCCAGCACCCTAGGCCATAGGATCCTGATACCGGTCAGGCCGCCGCTTCACTCACTGTCTCCAACCATGCATTCAGGAGAGAAACTGAGGCAAAAGCCCTCACAGGGCCCCTCACCGCCCTCATTTCGCCACTTTCCTACAAGGCCTGGGGCGGTGCCGGGGAGCCTGCAGATCAAGGGTCAAAGTCGGTTGGTTAATTACAACCTCTCCCCCTTGGAGGCGCTGGGCAGGGTGTTCAGCGCATCCCCCGCCCCACCCCCCAGGCCTGGGGAGGGGGAGTTCCGAAGGAAACCTGCTTGTTCTCGACCAAAGATTCTGTTGGGGGTGGGGCGGACAGAAGGTTAACAAGGAAGATGCCGCCGAGGCAAGAAACAACTGGGGTTACTCATTCCAAGTTGCCTCCGACGCTGTCAAGGCGTCTTCCGAAAATAAACTGGCTGCCTCAGCTTCCCCCGGGCTGGTCCCTGGCTGTGGGACGGCTTCTTTAAACCCCCTTTCAGCTCACTGGTGTCCTCTTCGAGGCTGAAGGAGGCGCGTTTCTAACCGAGGTGAGACCCGATCCCACCTTTGTCTTCAGGGCTGGTGGGGTGCAGCCGACGCCTTCCCCGCCGTCTGGCATTCCCCACGGCTGGGGGCTCCCTGCCTGCCAGACCCCCACGGGGACCTTCTGGTCACCCGCGTTGTGGGGGAAACGGAGAGAGCAATGAAGGTGGCCTACGCTCTGGGTCTTCTCTTGCATTTTGCACAAACCTCAGCCCAAACTCCAGCTCGCTCCCGGCCCCCCCCGCAAAGTGCCCCCGCTCCAAAGTGGCACCGCTCCAGTGCCCTCCGCCGGCCCCATAAAAGCCCTGGCTTTCTGGATTTACGACGCGAGAGTGGAGGGTCGCCAGGGCGGTGACACACCCCGTTGCCTCCCCTGCGCCGCGGCTCAGGCCGGTGGAGGGGAGGGCGGCCCCGCGCGAGCCCGCGCGCCCCCACCGGGGCCTGGGTCCCTGCACGCCGGCCGCTCGACGGGGCCCTCCGTCCTCTTGGCGGCGCGGGGCTCCGGGCGCGCTGGATGGGCGCCTCACCTGGCACGTAGATCTCGCCGCGCTCCTCGTCGGGGAGCTCGCTCCAGTTCCTCTTGCACGTGGAGACGCACGGCTTCTTTACCAGAAAGGCGCGGGGCATCTTCGAACCCTCCTCGCGCGGCACGGGCCGCTTCCGCAACTAGAGCCGGAGCCGTCCCACCTTTCCCGGGCCGGGCTGGAGGCGGGCGGGGGGTGGGGAGGGGGCAGGTCGGAGAAGAAGTCGCCAAAGCGCCTGGGACGGCGCGCGCCCGTTTCAGCTCGGCGGAGCTGTTGCGTCCTCCGGTCCCAATGAGGTCCCCTGCAGCCAGGTGCCGCGGGCGGCGGGGAAGCGTCTCCCGGCGCGACTGGCGTCCCTCGCGGCCGCTCACGGAGTCTTAAAGTGCGAGCCGGCCGGACGGGTTCACGCTTTATTGGCTCGCGGCGGTGTGTGTTGGTGGCTGGGGCGGGGAGGGGGTGATCGGAGCTAATTAGCTTGGAGTGGCCCGGAGAGCGACGGCGCATGCGTTGGGAAATAACGGTGACAACCCACCTATTTGTTACCTGTCGAACCGGTTTCCATTCCGCTGCCGGTGAGGTGGCCTCGCGGCCTGGGCGGGGTGGCCGGGCGGGGGCGGGCGCAGGGCACCCGGCTGCCGGGCCGGCCCGGTTGCCGCCCAGCGGGAGGGCTAGCGTTCGCCAACCGGAGTTTCGGAGAGAGAGCCGACGAGCAGGGGAGGGAGGGGAAGGGGCAACGTTATCCGGCGCTCGCACGCTCTGCCGGTGATGAAATGAAACTCTCCCGACGGGGCCCGGCGCGCCCCGGGCGCCTGGGGAGGCGCGAAGCCGTCGGGCGAGACTGGGCGGCCCGGCCCACACTTGTTGAACCGGGCCTGGGCCCAGGCGGCCCCGGGTCTCAAAGGCCTGGCTGAGCAATTCGTGGCTCAGCCCAGAGGTATTGGCTGGTCGCCGGCTCCGTGCGGAATGGCACGCGGGGCCGCAGGAGCGCGCAGGCCGGTGGACCCGCAGGCCAGGCCGCGCCGGCCGCAATACAAAGCGGAGAGCACCCGCCGGGCCTGGGGCCGCCGAGAGTCCGCCTTTCGGCCGGGCAGGTGTGGAAGGCTTCGTGGAGGAAGGGTCTTTTAAACCGCTTTGAGTCCGCCGCCTTCCCGAAAGACCCCAGCGCCTTAACCATCGGGGTGCGCCAAAGCCCTCGTCTTTGTCCCAGATGGACCGATTTCGGGTGCAGCAAGACTGGAGGGGAGCGGGTGGTGGAGGACCAGCTTCCTTCGCTTGGCTGCACCGCGGCAGGCAAAGAGCTTGTGTCCTACCCTGAGCTCAGGTTCAGCCTGGGACCCCTCACTCCAACCATTCACCTCCTGGAGGGAGCCCCCGCCGTCCTCAGAAGCACCTGGTGGCCTCCGTGAGGCCCAGTGACTGTGACGCTTGGGCCACGGGGTTTCTCTTACCTGCTGACTAGTAAGGGCAGGGATGGGACCCCTTTCTCTTTTAGCTTCCCCCGCTTCCCCCATGTAAAATAAACTAATATTTCAGAGTCCCGGCCACACACACACCTTTCTCACATATTAAATGTTTGCTAGAACAGATTAGGAGGAAATGAATCTGATAAATGAATTCACACAGTTCAAAAGTCAGGAGTCAGAAAAGGAGCAGTCTGCCTATGGTGGACTTTCAGGCATGTAGTGGAAGAAGGTAGCTTTTCAAGAGGGAGGTTCCAGAGGCCCTTAACATCCCCCCACAGGACTTCTGTGGAGCACACCCTGGGTGGGTGGGGAAAGGGTGGACTTAGGGGCCAGATGGGCCTCCTCTTCTACACCTTCCTGGAACCCGGGAGTCTGGCCGGCCGAGGAGCTTTCCTTTCCAGCCTGTATTGTCCGTGACCTGAGAATCCCATTGTCTACCTCCTGGGGCCGTGTATGAAATGGTGTGAGATCTGGCAGGGGCGTTAATGTTTGCCCCCTGCCCCTTCCTTTCTCAAGGCTCTGCCTCCCACAGCCCACACTTAGCTTGTTAGCCATCCACTCTTACCTGGACTCTCAAACATCCGATAAATGTTTATTGAGCACCCTGGTTGTACCAGACCTTGACAGGGGCTGGGACACAGCAGGGACTTCGTGGAAACTCTGCTGAAGTCTTCATGGATAACGCTGGACACGGGCAGTCCTTCTCATGGGGGAGGAACTCAGATGTCTTCACTTGTGGAAAGAAAGTTCTCCAGTGTACCCAGTGTATAGAATGAGGCCCCAGGAAGGAGAGAGATTTGCCTGTGCTGTCCACCGCTCTATCTACAGCATCTGTAATGGCGCCTGGAACATAGTGGGTGTCAATGAATATTTATTGAATGGATGAATAGCGTATGTTTCTTTTTTTAAAAAAATGATTTATTTATTAGCTGTTCTGGGTCGTTGTTGCTGCTCGGGCTTTTCTCTAGTTGCAGGGGCAGGCTTCTCATTGTGGTGGCTTTTCTTGTTGTGGAGCACGGGCTCTAGGTGCTCGGGCTTCAGTGGTTGCAGCCCACAGGCTTAGTTGCTCCAAGGCATGTGGGATCTTCCCGGATCATAGATCAAACCTGTGTCCCACTGGCAGGCAGGTTCTTTACCACTGAGACACCAGGGAAGCCCCTAGCCTATGTTTCTTGACTCACATGACACAGTCTTTCATGTTCCAACTTTTGCTCTAATAGAGGTATAAATGCAGAGCTAATTTATTTTTTTTATTATTATAAGGAAAACTATAATGTCAGTTCAGTGACAAAAGGCAGCTCTCGGAAATTGGGGGTGGCATGGAGAATGTGACTAGAGTGCCAGTGGCAAGCATGTCACTCAAGCTCAGAAACCCAGTGGTGCCACTTTTGTCCACTTGGGAACTGGAAATCGAAATTTGCGTGTGGAATCTACCAATTTTTATCTTTACTTATTTATGGCTTCACTGTGTGGCTTGCAGGATCTTAGTTCCCCAATCAGGGAACAAACCCAGGCCCTCAAGACCAAAAGCTTGGAGTCCCAACCACTGAACCGCCAGGGAATTCCTTGAAACCTACCAGTTTTTAAACACTGACTTCACTTAAAAAATAATAATAAATGAGTCAAATAAAATACATTTGTGGGGCAGATTTGAACTATGGGCTTTCAGTGTGTGGCTTCTGATTCATGGTCTCTGGTTCTGGTTCATCTAGAACTAGACAGTATGTGTGAACTTGGGGAAACACTGAACTGTGAGCTCCATAAGGGCAAGCACCTTCTGCTCTGTTCATACAACGCCAGTTCAGTATCATTTTCTCCTTCCCTAATTCAGTCAACAAATGTTCATTGAACACCTGCTATATGCTAGCACTGGGTATTCTGTGATGCAAGACAAAGGAAATGATTAGTGTGTTGCAGGACATTCAGTTAGTGGTGGATGGTGACAGGCAGTTCAGTTCAGTTCAGTCACTCAGTCGTGTCTGACTCTTTGTGACCCCACAGACTACAGCACACCAGGCCTCCCTGTCTATCACCAATTCCCAGAGCTTGCTTAAACTCATGTCCATTGAGTCGGTGATGCCATCCAATCATCTCCTCCTCTGTCGCCCCTTCTCCTGTCTTCAGTCTTTCCTGGCATCAGGGTCTTTTCCAGTTCTTCGAATCAGATGGCCGAAGTATTGGAGCTTCAGCTTCAGCATCAGTCCTTCCAGTGAATAGTCAGGACTGATTTCAGGTGACAGGCAAGGGGCACTGAGATCTGAATGAGAGGTAGGAGCCAGCTGTGCAGAGCAGGGAAGAGCGTGAAGTGTAGATGGATCAGATGGCTCAATGGCCCCAGAACAGGAGTGCGCCCCGGGTGTGTGTCTGTGTGTATGTCTGTGTGTGATGAACGGAAAGGTGGCTGGATGGTGAGGGGATGGGAGGGTGTAAGGTCTGAGCTGGGAGAGGCAGGTCTGCCATGTCATGTGAGGTTCAGGGCGATGGGCAGCCTTGGGGTCTGCGATGGGGAGAGGGGAGTGCATCGACAGGTGAGGGGAGCAGCAGGGAGATCAGCGAGGAAGCTACTGTCATGGTCCAAGCAGGAGGGGATGGTGGCCTGGGTCACGAGTGCTGATTCCAAGTGTCCTCAGCCGACCTGTCTCTTCGATACAGTGGACAGGGGTGTGAGGAGACAGAACCCCAACAGGCAAGTAAGGACCATGCTCCCCAAAGACTGGTGGCTGGCAGCCACCTTCAGTGCTTGGTTTCTGTCCTGAGCAACTCTGGGGAGAGCCAGGGCAGAAGTCGGACGGAGAAGTTTTAACCCCTTCCTGTTTTCAAGAAGGCTTCTGGGAGGAGCTGGGAGGGGGTGGGGTGGGGCAGGCTTAGAAGCCTGACAGCTGAAGATGGAAGAGCTGTGCTGAGGGGACAAGCAGAACACCAGTCCTGGAGCCGGGCTGCCCTAGCCAGGGACTTGGGCTCAGCCACGTCTGTACGGAGGGCTCCGAGTTCCAACTCTGCTGCCAAGAGATGCTTCTGATTCGCCTTGGCCGGGAAGACCTGCAGCCCTTGAGAATGGACTCAGCCTTAGAGCAGGCTGCTGGTGCCCGGGCCGCTGCGGCCTCTGCCTGGCTCCAATAGTGGCCGTTTTTGGCTGGAGCCCCGTGGGCGCTGCAGAGCCCCTGGCAATCTGTGCCGTGCGGTGGGCGCCACTGATGCCGCCGTCGCTTGCTGAGTTTCGTCCTGTCGGTTCCCAGGGCGCCTGGCGCCTGGCACCTCCCTCTCCGTGTGTCCCACTCCGATCCGTGGGAGCCGAAAGGAGTCCCTGGGGCCCAGCGAGCTCTGGCCCGCTGGCGTCCTGACCGCTGGTCGTGGTGTGCCCGCCACGCTGTTGGCTCTCTGTCCACTGAACTGGCCAAAGCCGGTTCCTAGCTCAGGCCTCTCTTCCGCTGCTCCTTCTCCCCCGAGGCGTTTCCCCACTTGATGACTGGCTGCTCTCCTCACTCAGGTTTCAGCCAGACATGCCCTCTTCTACGAGGCCTCTCTGAGTGCCCCAGCTGAATCCTTGTCCCGCCAGCCACTTCTGTCCCATTACCTTATTTTATTATTCTTTTTTGCAGCATCTCTTTCCATGAAATTTTGATTTGTCTTGTCTGTTCCATTCTTCCTCAGTGTAAACTCTGTACATGAAGGACCTCTTTGAATGTCATTTTTAGTAGCTTTATTTAGATATAGTTCACATACCCATAAAATTCACCCTTTTAAAGTGTACAAGTCAGTGAGTGGGGTTTTGTTTTGTTTTTGGCCATGCTTATAGGACCTTAGTTCCCCCAGCGGGGATTGAACCTGCACCTTCAGCAATGAGAGCACGAAGACCTACCACTGGACCAGCAGGGAATTCCCAATTCAGTGGGTTTTAGTATCTGCACAGAGCCGTGCAGCTGTCACCACTATCGTCAGAAACACTTTCATCGCCCCCTGAAGAAACCCTCTGCCTGTTAGCAGCCACTGTCCATTCCTCCTACGCCCCAGCCCCTGGTACCCATGGCTCTGCTTTCTATGGATTTGCAAATTGATGTGCTCTTTCTTTACATAAGTAGTTTTTTTTTAATTTGTTTATTTTTTAACTGAAGGATAATTG